CACTTACTGAATCCCACGCCTCACCATGCCAAAGATAATTAACCTTAATTTCCTCTCTTGTAGTTAGTCCTTCCTCATCGACCACCATTGGGTAGTGTTTTGTGTACCATACATAAATCCATGTTGTTACTCTTTCCATCGATTTCTACCAAATGGGTTGATACAATCTCAGCATTCTTTCTCATACCCCGGGTGGATACTACAAACTTTCGGAATAATGGATTTTATGGTTGGCTTTCCGAAGACCAGTACCTAACGTAGTTCATTGTGTGTACTGTATAGAGTAGCAATCATCAAGGAGATAGTTATGTTAATAACGGGACGAGATGCCTCGGTGGTGAGAGCGCGAATTTACTGCCTCTCAACTTCCCCTGTCTATGCTTGGGCAACTTGGCACTAGCTCAGCCCTCGTACTTCCTTCTGCCGAAGTGACAGTTAGACACCAAAAGGGTGTTACTGCGGAAGGATTATTTTTATCTTTTGTCACATTAATAACAATATATCAATGATAATGCGGCCGCGTCTGCCTGGAAAACTTGTGATTAATTTCCTAATATTGCTTTGCCAATCATAAAATAGAACCACCACGGATGAATCAACCACATGAAATGCGCATTTATCAGAATAAACTCCACTTTGCCAAAAAATAAGATCGAGAGCTACAAACTATTTATTTATTTTACCTATTTATTTATACATTTACTTATTTATTTATCCATTCATTCATTTATTTAATTCAGCCGTATTTTGTACGGAGTCTAACAATGCTAACTCTTATCTTCATTAAATTGCCTCCATGAAGAAGACCTTAGCACTAAAAACAAAGGAATCAGATCGCAAGATTGAACTGGTGACCAGAAAATAGATCCAGCTACTTGTCGATTAAAAACTCTCATGGTAACGCAATAAATGAACTACTTGGCGAGGACTTAGGATTTAAATGACTTTAAAAACGACCTGAGAGGGTAAAAATAGCTTCGGTTCATTTGATTGGACGTCTAATCGTTGTATTGATTAGGCACGAAATTACTTTGTTTAAATGAGCTAGAGAACTGGACAGATGTTTGAATAATTGGCCAGCGACCACACTGGCCGGTTAGATAGTGGCGACGTAAAATAGCTTCGCCTGAAAAGTACAACCAAAAACTCTGTAGTTTATACACTTGTTCGTCGTAAATTTGAAAATCAGGACTAATGGGAAGAAATTCTGACTGATTTTGCCTTCCAGTTTTAGATTTTAGATTCACTCACTCTCGTTTGAACAGGCTTTGCCCAGCCCTGGCACACATTGGACTCGAATGCTACTCGTCAGTAGTGCATAGTCGTGACTTTCCGAGGCGCGAATTTCTCGCATCTGACAGGCTGGACGAGCGTGTTACCGCTATTTCTTCAGAGCAGTTTGAATGCATCTGAACAGGTTCATGCCTGAATGGCTGGCCATGCCAGATACCTCGGAAAACGATCTAGTCAATGCCCGAATAACTCTGATGCACCCATCGCCATTTGATACAGCAGCAATAAGACGTCCGCTTCACGTGTCTGGACTTCAGACCTCGGCACGCCTTGTGAGCTCCAAAAAGAGGAAAACCCTAGTCCCGTGCTCCCCTTATTGGTATGTACTAACCAGAATAATGGTGCTGCATGAGAAGTGGTCAAATGACAGTTAGGTGAGCGTGGCTTACGCAAATCTTACAACCACCCACCAGTAGTGCTAAAATTGTCCAAGAAGGTTGTCACAGAGGGAGTCCGCGTACGGCAAAACAATCGGGTTACCTGATGAGCAAAGGTAGTTTTCCACCTGGCCAAACTCGTTTCAAATCATGCTTCGTTCACGTTTGTTCCCCACGCTTCATTTTTTTTCCTACCTTCCACTTTTCAATGCCTTTGATAGATGACACGTTCCAGTCTCAACGGTGGACTGACAAACAAGATCGAGTGGAGGCCTTTTCGGCAACCGTTCTGCTGGCCATCCCTGAGGCTGGCGAGGCCGATTACTATTCAGATTCGCCACAGTACCTCACTGTCGCAGAACTTCGAGAGCTTGGTATCTACGATGATGACGAAGACGATGAGGAGGAGGAGGAAGAAGAAGAGTTGGAGGATTTGGATGTAAAAGCGCAAAGCGTCGAAGACGATCGCGACAGCGCATCGGATTCCAGAGCTCATTATTTGGATATGACCAAATCCGAGATTCTTGAAAAAAACCACCGTTTTTCATTTCCCTCCCTCAGCCCGCTAACATCACAGCGCGGACTGCACTTTACAGCCTCCGATGAACTAGTTTCTTTGGTTTCCTCCACTACGCTGTAAAATATTGATTTTTTCTACTTTTTTGAATACAATCACCTGTCTGCGCTCATCCACAGAAACTGGTAGTTCTACACTGATTCCAATACCTCTTTGGTATGGCCACGCTAGATAAAGAATTTGAAATTTCGTCTGATATTCGCTGGTCAGCTCTAGTACCATTTCGGTAGCTAGCTGTAGAGAAACCCGAAGTAAGCAAAATGGCTAGGAAGTAGAGTTGTCAGAAATACTCTGATTTTTGCCTTAGACTGGCACAGGTTCTCCTCGGCTTCATCTGCGACTCCCTCTGCTTGTCAGCGCTTATCCTTTGACTTGATAAAGTAGCCGTTTTGAAGCTGCGTTCAATCTGAGGTCATTCCAAGTCTATTGCCTACACTAAATGCACTTAGATTGTTCCCTCTTCTAAAAGGTCGGTATACAAACCTTCTGTACCTCGAAAAGTAGACGAAAATAATTCTTTAGAATCTACCTACACCTACTGAAGCATACCACTTGATTTCGATTTCCTTTCATCATTCTGAGGCGGGTGGGGTTCAGCTAGTAGCGAAACGTTTGCTCACAAAGGACGAGTTTATAAGTAGTAAAACTCTTCTACAATTAAATCTCATAAGGTTAGAAAATTAGGAGTACCACTTTGTGAAGTTACTCATCTTTCATATTGGAAACTACTCACGAGTTTGCTGAAAACTCTTCGACAGCCCACAACCGGTTTCGCCCTTTTTGGGATTCATCAGGTAGTTGCAGTCCCCGAGTTCCCGTCATCCTTATGTTCTGCTTGAACCCAAATCGGACTGTTTTCGAGAGACACACTCATTTGCAAATCAATTTGGTTTTCACCTTTCGTTTTTGGCACAACCTTCATTGTTGAAAAAATTAAGAATGCCGAAGAATGTGATATTTTTCAAGTGATGGTCTTGTGATGGAGGCTCGGCCACAAAGGACAACCAAATTCGAGTAATTCGTATGTTACTACGTTACCAGGTGGTATCGAACCTCGAACCTCCACCAAAGCACAAGACTAAACCACCAAAAAACGTCTCCCTTTTTCCTATGGGTCTGAAATCCAAGCTTTCAAACACCCAAATCTCCCTAGAATTGTGCATCCTCGAACAGGCATCGGATCACAAACTCTGGCGCCAACTAAATGGCTTTCTATAGGGAGACAAGCCTTCACTTGATTTATCAGTCACCTTTCCTGACTTAAGATAGTGGGGTCACTTAGACTACCCCGTGCATCATATGACTTTGATTCCTAGCCGTATGTTACACCAGTATATACTGACCGGAAGAGTCATTTAAATCTGCCGTTACCGTCTTTCCGAATGGACACCCCTGGAAGGGACATTTTAGCGGGTGGGAACACAGGAAGATGTGTCCCTACAGTTCGATCAGTGGTTTCCTTACATCAGCTTTATTGTTTCAATCCGTAGCTCCTAGGTCCCCCACAAATAGTCTTTTGCATATCAGTCATCAAAGTGTAGCCTACTGAGCTTGGCAATATCTCCATTGAATCGGCATGAAACACAGCATCTCCCATCAGCAATTCAATGTAGCTCAATACAGAGTTTATACTTGATTTTGTCAACAGGGATTTGGTTAATGAAGTGAATACATCTCAGGGCTCGCGTTCTCCTGAGGGGACTACCCTTGACATCAACCTTCTCAACAAAACAGCCGCTGCGTTAAGTGGATTTCACAAAACCACTTTGGGTGGGTGTATGACTACAGTCTAGAATGGTGATACAGGAAATCTATTGTTTCACGTAAGGGAACGGCAAATGCCGATAGATAACCCCGTTTTGCTTTGTGCTTTCTCCGAACGGTCGTGTGATTTTTCTTGCTAGGCTCATCTTTCCATTTCTGAAACTGTCAAAACGAAAATCCCGATGTCAGTTAGAATAGGCTCAACTCTGTTGCCACTTCCGAGCGCAACCGAGTCGTTCTTTCTGCTTGGTTGTATCGTGTTTCAAGTACGCTGAATGAATACGGCATAGTCTTTCAACCCTGAGCTTTAATGTCTGGAGGAAGCCCGAACACAAGTGGTCCGATGGGGATCCCCTAAATTGGATGTGCTCTTTCCCGAGGGCAGAAATTTTTGTGCATTTTGCGGTGATGACAGTGGAATTTTTGTTTGTCTAGAGTTTGGATTCACATCTAGAGCTCCATCTAAGCATCACGTGACCACTTACTCAACTCTTATTACTGACTAATGGAGAAAGGTACAATTTCCATTCTAACCTGCAGTGAGTAAGAGAATGTCATCGAGTCACAGAGCTCCTCATTAGGTGAAAGCCCTTGATATAAGAAAATATCACTAATTTATGCAGGGCCAATTCTTTATTCCTAAGTCAAAAAGGAGTTAATCAAAAACTTGGCTGATGATCTGCGCCGCAAATGCATAAACCGTAGTTGGCCCTGGGAAATTCGTCATTAATCCACCAATTACCTTTGTATCAAAGTAGAACACTGCCTATTTTTGGCACACTTACTTATCTTTTCAATGATCACGGGGTTAGAGAGTTTGTGCTTGCGTAGCCGGAGTTTGCCTTACCTACCTTCACTTGGTGAAGTTGGTCCTTATTTGAAATCATGAGAGGTTGACGTAGAATAAATTCTCACAAACAGCTGAACTACCTCGACGATGGAGTGTACACATGGATTTTCCCCGTTTTTCCAAATTCTTGTGTAATCAGTCACCCAAAACCCATCTGAAGATAACAACTTAGACTTGTCGGTCGATTTACTCAGTATCAGCTGCGCAGTGGCTCCGTCAAAGGGGCGGAGACATCAGTATCTATCCTTTTATTTCACTACTCACATTTTTGCTAGTAGCTCGTGCGCAATCCGACTTTTTGTTCCCTGGGCCTGATAAATTATTCACAAGCGCTTCATCACCAGTCGAGTTTCGTAATGGAGAAAAGATGCCTCGGTATCAAGATATTTACAGTGTTTGCGCTTAAATACCGACCTCAGGCAATGCATATAAAGTAATAGCAGTTCACTTATCGGACTGTGTTTAGTTGGCCAGTTCCATGGACTTCGCTTGCTATCTGCTAAAAGCATTACTTTTCTCGCGGTCAGAAGTGACTGCCTAACTCCAAAAATCCCAATGAATTGTCAGTGCGTTCTGTATAGCACACAGCTCATGTTTAGTTGCATCAACATTTCGCGTTTCCGATTTTTGTCGTCACTGATACCAGAAGGACTATCCCAAAGTTCCAAAAGCATAGATTCCTTTGTGGACAACGTGATCTTCGGAACAGTTTGTTGTAATCTCAGGGACAGACAGTTCCTTGTAGTGTACGCAAAGGTGGTGAGGAATGGGGATTACTTACCAAACTAAAGTACTTGGTGATCTCGTTTCAGAAGGGCTTGGTCGATAATCGCTAGTTTTTAATTGGGCAACGTTCCGCTTTTGACCTAAAAGCTTCATCAGGTCAAGGAACAGGTCACCAAACTGGCCAGGTTTTAAGGCAGACAGAGAATCACTCAGTAGGACTTCTTTATATTGGCGCCATAGATCAGTGTTGAGCGTCATTTAACGGTTCTTTCGGTTAGTGTGGTCGTCAAAATCTTGCGTTGATGGGTTGGGGAAGTTTCAACTTGGTTCCCATCCGGTTTAATTCTTAAATCTTCCACTTCAAGGTGCTTCAAACGATGATTCACCGTGAATGCCACTGGTAGATTTCGCTGGTCTTTGCATGCCTGTGAGTGTTATGAATACTGATAACCACACACCAAAACGTGTCAATTTGACTGTTCGCAAACACCTGAGTGATGGTCGCACAGACTTCTAGATACTTCTAGATATTTGAGCGCCTTCAAATGAAGACAGCCTTTCCAAAACTGGGGACAAAAGGGATGCAGATCGTACACTTCTGTGATCCCAGCACACAGTTCAGGGCACTGCTAAACTACAAAAGTGTTCCTTACAGCACACCACTCATTCGCTAGGAAAACCAACACATTTCACAAATTGTAACCACTAGATTACTTTACTTACATTTTCACTTTCGATTGACCGTCTCAGATTTAGGAAGTTTCAGAAATGTCTCGCCTACACAGCTCAGGTGTAGCGGTGATCGGCTGCCAGGTCTGAACAAATCATAATCCATAAAGGATACTACTCACAAGGTTGCTGAAAACTCTTCGACAGCCCACGACGGGTTTCGTCCTTCTTGGGACTCATCTCAAGTGAGCGCAGTCCTCGAGTTTCCACTGTCAACCTTATGATCTATTTGAACCCAAAGATAGGTTCACCCAGTTTACTGATATCATTTCTATGTTCCCGTTTCGAAAGAGTTGAGTTGTCTTCCATTTAGGAAAAAATCGTGAATGGCGCATGAAGATCCGGGGCTTCCAAAGACATTTGTGAAGAACGGGAGATTCAGCTGGGTTCCAGGTGAATCTCACGCAAAACCAAACCGGTTTTCAACTGGATGTATTTCGCTAGTTTCTTGCTATTTTGATGCAGTTGAAACCTAAAGTTGACAGAAACTCGGGGACTGCGCCTACCTGATGAGCCCCAAGAAGAGCGAAACTAGGCGTAGGTTGTCGAAGTGTTTTCATCAACCTTGTGAGTAGTTTCCTTTATGAGAATATACTGCGATATCTCGAATATCGTGCCAACTGAATCATGAGGCGGCATGTGTGCAGCACATTCAGTTGTAGAATATCATAAACAAGTGATTTAGTTGAGTCTCTTATGAAAACCAGATTGATTTGCAAATGAGTGTACTTCTCGAAATCGTGCTCCAGTTTCGGCTTTAGTGAAAGCCCCGTGGATACCGTTTTGCTACTTAAAACCTGGCAGTTTTTAAGGCTAGCGACTCTATTCAGTTGGCAAAGAATGCCCTGAGAAATAAGCTCGCTTTGGCGAATGATGGAAAGGGTGGTGATGAAAGGGTATCATCAAGGAAGTGCCGTAAGTCTTCCTGAAGCTGTGACGGGAGACAAATATGGTTCCCCACTTGTGATCACATCTCAGGCAGGTTACTCAAGGCTTTAAGCATGGATCCCTTTGGTAACAATGGATATTGTGGCTGACACGAGAACGCCC